TGCTGTTGCTGCTGCAGGTGTTGGAGTCTGCTGCTTCGGACAACGATGAGACAGAAGCAGCAGCAGCTTGCATTAGTCATTTGCTGCGGGTGTGGAGCTGCTCCTCCTCCTCCTCAGCAGCAGCAGCAGCAGCAGCAGATGGACCCCGCAGTTTGTTGCAGATTGCTGTGCAGCACTCAATAGGCCCGCTGCAGCAACTGCTGTCTGCTGCAGCAGTGACTTCGAACGGCGACACGGCAGCAGCAGCAGCAGCAGCAGCAGCAGACACCGAGACGCTGACGCACGTGGTTGCTGCTGTTGCTGCTACCTGCCGTGCTGCAGTGCCCTTGCTGCTGCAGCAAACGCATGCAGACGGGGCCCTGCAGCAGCTGCTGGAGACGCTTGCCGCTGCAGTGGCTCTACCGCGCACGTTGGGGTTGCTGCTGCAGCAGCAGCACCACTCCCACCCCCAGCAGCAGCAGCAGCAGCAGCACTACTCAGAAGCTGCAGCAGGCGACTACGAAGCAGCAGCATTTCTCTCTGTCAAAGCTGTGCGTTTTTTCTGCGACTTGAGATACGACATAGAGGACGCGGAGCAGCAGCAGCAGCAGCAGCAGCAGGAGCAGCAAGTCAATGCGCAAAGCAAACAGGCGCTGCTTCAGGTGTACAGACACCTCAGCGAAGAGGCGCTGCAGCAAATCGAAATTCCCTCCGCCCAAATTTCGCAGCGAATGCTGGAGGAGTTTTACAGGTAAACTGAATAAATAAATAAATAGATAAATAAATAATAAATAATGAATTAAAAAAAATAAATATATTAAATAGTGGTAAAGAGTTTAGGTCAAGTTGGAGGGCTGCAGCAGCAAATGCCAAGTGCGCCTTTGCTGCGCCTCTGGATGCTGCTGCAGCGCCTTTGCTGCTGCTGCTGCTGTTCATCTTGCTGTTGTTGCTGCTGCTGCTACGCATCTTGTCGCTGCTGCTGCGACTTTTGCTGCTGTCGCCGTGTCTGTTGTTACTCTGCCGGTTCTTCTGTATTCATTGCTGCTGCTGCTGTTGCTGCTCCTGTTGCTGCTGCTGCAGCTTTAGGGACCAGCTGCTGCTGCTGCTGGAGGACTGTGCTGCCTTAATCGGTCTCGAGTTGCCAATGCGGGTGCGTAATAGCAGCAGCAGCAGCGAGAACGACACAGCAGCAGCAGCAGCAGCAAGGCACATACAGAAGCAGCAGCAAAAATGGCACAGCAGCAGCAGCAGCAAGATAACACAGCAGCAACAGATGCAGCACAAACACCTGTTGGAATGTGTATTATCAAGATTCAATTTTCCCAGCTTTTCTCTTAGCGCAAGGCATTGCTGCTGCTGCTGCTGCTGCTGTGCAGGTGACGAGCCGCATGCAGCAGCTGCTGCAGAGCCACCAGCTGCAGCAGCAGCAGCAGCAGCAACTATCTGCTGCTGCTGCTGAGGATGTCTTCGAGAGGCCTCTGGAGTGTCTCTTCGTCGCGTTAGACTACACCTTTCCGTGTACGCCCGAGGCGCTGCTGCTGCGGCTGCTGCTGCTGTGGCTGCTGCGGCTGCTGCTGCTGCAGCTGTTGCTGCTGCTGCTGTCGTTGTGGCTGTACAGACACCTCAGCAGGCAGCACAGCAGCAGCTGTGCTCACCTCAGCTGTTGCTGCAGTGCAGGCGGTGCTGAAGCCTTCCTTGCCCCAGGTAGGCAGCAGCAGCAGTAGCAGCAGCAGTAACAGAAGAAGTAGCAGCAGCAAAAGTAGCAGCAGCAGCAGCGATGGCAGTAGCAGCAGTAACAACGGCAGCAACAGCAGCAGCAACAACAGCAGCAGCTGCTCCTCTTGCTGCGGTTGCTGCTGCTGCAGCAGCAGGTGGTGGGGTTTGTGTGTTTTGCTTTTCTGCCTTTAATTTAGTTTTATTTGTCTCCTTTTGCTGCTGCAGACTCGAGCTGCTGTTTTCTGCAGAATTGCGGCTATAAGATTCGTGAGGAGGGCCCACGCCTACATAGAGACAGAGTAACTTGCTGCTGCTGCTGCTGACGCTGCTGCTGCTGCTGATGCTGCTGCCGCTCGTGCGGCTCTTGGAGAGCCGCATCTGTTGCTGCTACAGGGACTCCTGCTACAGCTGCTGCTGCTTGTGCTGCTGCTGCTTGTAGCTGTTGGCTGCTGCTCATGCTGCTGCTGCTGCTGCTGCTGCTGCTGCTGTGTGCTGCAGTTCAGGGTCTCTGCAAGCTGCTGTCGGTTTGCTGGCTAGTCAGCTGTCCCTCCCCGGAGCAGCAGCAGCAGCAGCAGGAGGAGGAGCAGGAGCAGCAGGGGAGCTGCTGCGGCACCGAGCAGCAGCAGCAGCAGCAGCAGTGGAGCTGCTGCGGCACCGAGCAGCAGCAGCACTTGAAGATGTTTGCAGAAACGCAAAACATCCAGTAGACACTCAGACAATCCACCACTTGGCAGCACGTAAGACGCAGCAGCAGCAGCAGCTGCTGCTGCTGCTGCTGCTGCTGCTGATGCTGTGTTGGTTGCAGTGGTTGTGCGTTTTTGCTGCTGCCGCTGCGCCTGCTGCTGCTGCTGCTGTCTGGCCACAGTATGTCAGGCGTAAAATGTAGGGTTTAGGGTTTGAGGCTGAGGGTTTAGGGTTTAGGGTTTACGGCCTTGTGCTTTACTGCTTCAGTTGCTGACAGTCTATCGGCAGAACCAGTAGCAGAGAAGGCAAGTACCCACATGCAGCAGCAGCTGCTGCTGCTGCTGTTGCTGCTGCTTCGCTGCTGCTGCTGCTGCTGTTGCTGCTGCTTCGCTGCTGCTGCTGCTTTGCTGCTGTTGCAGCAACAGCGTCTGCTTTGTTGCTGCTGCTCTGCTGCTGGTGCCGTCCCCACTGTCGACTCCACCGATTCGTCGCAGAGGGTTTAGGGTTTAGGGTTTAGGGTTTGGGCGCAGGCTTACTGGCTAGTTCTTGAAGCAGTTTGTTCATTAGTTGGGCGCCTTAAAGAAGACCATTTGATGCTTTCTGTGAGTTTGTTGCTGCTGCTGATGGTGCTGCTGCTGCTGCTGCTGTTGTAGCTGCTGTTGCTGGGTTTGTTGCGGTTGCTGCTGCTGATGGTGCTGCTGTTGTTGCTTTCGCTGCTGCCGGTGCTGCTGCTGTTGCTGCTGCCGTTGCTCTTTCCTTTGGTGCTGTTGTTTCTGCTGTTGCTGCTGCTGCTGCCGCTGCTGCTGGCACGCCTCGCTGTGGCCTCATTCTTCCTTCCCTCACATGCAGCAGGAACCGCAACAGCAGCAGATGCAGCAGCAGCAGCAGCAACAGCAGCAGCTGCTGCGGCTACCCTTTGCTGTGCCCACAGATGCTGGAGAGTCTCTGTCGCCCCTCGATTGCTGCAATAGAAGAGACTCTTGCTGCAGGGCAGCAGCAGCAGCAGCAGCAGAACATCTGCACGAAGCTCGATGCCCTGGCAATTGTGCTCAGGTAGGCTGCTGCTGCTGCTGCTGCTGCTGCTGCTGCTGCTGAGCTTACTGCAGCAGCACTTGCCGCCTGGCCGTGCTTTGCAGCAGCAGAACCCCAGTTCCGCTGCCGCTGCTGCTGCTGCTTCGGCAACGCCTTCATTGCTCTTCCTGTGCTGCTGCTGCTGCTATTGCTGCTGCTGCTGCTGCTGCCGCTGCTGCTGCTGCTGCTGCTGCGGTTTAGGGACACGTCTTCTGGGGTAAAGCAAGAGCCGCAGTGTCTAGCAGCAGTTCAGGCGTTCGTGTGCAGCACTTTGTGGCCGCTGCTGCAGCAGCTGCTGCTGCAGCAGCAGCAAAATGCTGCTGCTGTTGAGCGAGCCCTGAGGTGTATGAAGCACGCTGTACGTACAGCTGGAGATGCTTTCAAACCCTTAGTGCTGCCTTTTCTTCAGGTGCTGCAGACAAACGCGCAGGTGGGTTTAGGGTTTAGGGTTTAGGGTTTAGGGTTTGGGGTCTGCTGCGGTGAACTGCTGGTGCTGCTGCCTTGCTGCCGCTTTGAGCCCGGGCTCCTTGGTTTAAATTTAATGCTTAGAAGGGTTTAGAAGGCTTTACAGGGTTTAGAAGGGTTTAGGGTTTAGGGTTTAGGGTTTAGGGGCGCTGCTCCCTTTCTTCCGCTTGAACCCCAAGCTCTGTGGTTCGAACTCAAGTCCCCGACGTTCGCGGGCCCCCGAAAGGCCTCGAAGGGCCTAGGGTTTAGGGTTTAGGGTTTAGGGTTTAGGGTTTAGGGTTTAGGGTTTGCAGGTCTGCGTGCACCCCACGTACTTGTACGCCACGGAGTGGATGGCGGTTTGCTTCGGGTTTGAAGGGCCGCAGGTGCAGCAGCAGCTGGCAGCTCTTATTCAGCAGCTGGCCACTGCGGGCTTCGAAGCCATTCAGAAACAAGTAGGGTTTAGGGTTTAGGGTTTAGGGTTTAGGGGCGAGGGTTTAGGGTTTAGGGTTTAGGGTTTGGGCTTTAGTTTTTGGGGTTTAGGGTTTGAGGTTTAGGGTTTGGAGCTAGGGTTTGGACTGCGCTGCTCTGAAGACGCTCATGCGCCACGGCCTCGAGGGCCGAGGGTCTGGGGTTTACGCCTTGCGGCTTAAGGTTTAGGGTTTAGGGTTTAGGGTTTAGGGTTTAGGGTTTTGTGCAGGCTGTGTTGGAAGACAGCGCGGACATGGTGGAGGACTGCTACGGAATGCTCAGCAGACTTTTGAAAAGATGCCCTCCAGTTGCTGCTGCTGTGCCTTCTGCCTTGAGACAGGTCCTGCTGCTGCTGCTGCTGCTGCTGCTGCTGCTGTCGCTGCTGTTTTGGGGGCTGCTTTTGCTGTTGGTGGTGGCGCTGCTGCTGCTGTTGCTACTGTTTTGGGGGCTGCTTTTGCTGTTGGTGCTGCTGCTGCTGTTTTGGGGGCTGGTGTTGCTGCTGGTGCTGCTTTTGCTGCTGCTGCTGCTGTTCTTGGGGCTGCGTCTGCTGCTGCTGCTGCTACTGCTGTTTTTGGGGCTGGTTTTGCTGCTTCTGCTGCTCTTGTTGCCTCTGCTGCTGCTGCTGCAGCTGCTGCTTCCGTTGCTGCCTCTTGCTGCTGCTGCCGTGTTTTGCTGCCATTGTTTCTGCCTTTTCTGAAACCACTGCTGCTGCTGCCGTTCTTGCTGCTGCTGCTGCTGTTCTTGCTGCTGCTGCTGCTGTTCCCTGCACATTATGACTCACGAATGAATAAGTAACTATTTAAAATTTGTTTTTAATTAATTGATTTTATTTATTTATTTATTTATTTATTATTTTAGGGCCTGGAGAACTGCAGCCTTTGCATGGCTGTGGACACTCAAGAAGCAGCAAAATTGGTTTTCGTGTTTATGGAAAGCATTGTGCATGCAGCAAGCAAGTCCTAAACCCTAAACCCTAAACCCTAAACCCTTCGCGGCCTCACCCGCAGCCGCCGCCTGCGCCAAACCCTAAACCCTAAACCCCAAACCCTCAGCTGGAGCCCCAAAAGGAGAATAATGAAAGCTCATTAATTATTTAAATTTATTTATTTATTTATTTATTTATTTATTTACTTGTTTATTTATTTGCTGCTGCAGAGGAAACCTCGGAGCCGCAGCTGCAGGCAGCAGCAGCGCAATTGGCCTCAGAAGTAAAAACCCTCTTGCTGCTGTTTATTTATTTTATTTTCATTTATTTTTATTTTTATTTATTTATTTATTTTGTCGTTTATTTTTGCTTAATTATTTAATTGTTTATGTTTATTCATTTATTTACTCATTCTCTAATTTATCTGTGTTTGTTTGCTTATAAATTCCTGTTTATTTACCTATTTATTTATTTTCTTATTTTATTTTAATTTGTTAGTCAATTAATTTATTTTTTGTTTATTTATTTACTTTGAATTATTTTTGTCTATTTTCACGAATTTGAATCCGTTTTGGTTCATTTTTTCTCCATTTAGCATTTATTTGCATTCTATTTAATTAATTAACCAGTTAAATCCGTGACTTATTATTCATTTATTTATTTATTTATTTATTTATTTACTTATTTATTTATTTATTTATTATTTTTATTTTGTTTGCAGTTTTTGCCGCTGCTGGTGCGCAGCGCGTTTGAGCTGCTCGGGAGGGCCCCCTCAGCGCTGAAGGCGCAGTTGATAGAAGTGAGTTTAAAGCGCCAAAAAGTGCCAAAAAGTGCCAAAAAAGTGCCACAAAGTGCCACAAAAATGCCACAAATCAAACAATTAAGAATCCCATTAACTTTGAAATCAAATTTGGTTTTTTTTCGGCCTTTTTTCAACTCCGGAGACCTCAAATTCACTTTTTTGCTTTCTGCCTTCAACTCCACCACTTTTTATTATTTCTTTTATTTATTTGTTTATTTCTTTAATTCATTATTTCTTTTTACTATTTATTTATTTATTTTTTACTTTATTTATTTGTACATTCATTATTTAATTAGTTTATTTATTTACTTATTTTTATTCACCCATTTATTGTTTTATTTTTTAATTTATTTATTTTATTTATTTATTTATTTATTTATTTATTATTTTATTTATAGGATTTCATAGTCGTGGTGGTTTCGGAGTTGGGCGCTGAGGCCTCACCTTGGCTGGCAGGTAATTTTAATTATTTATTTAAATTAAATTAATTAATTTAATTTAATTGATATGATTTAATTTAATTAATTTAATTTAACTAATTTAATTTGATTGGTTTAAATTAATTCAAATGTTTAGCTTCTTAATTAATTAATCTGCACATTTTATTTTTCAATTTTTTAACTTTTTTTTTATTTTTTAGGCAGCTGGGGGCGGCGGTTTGGCCTCTTTTGTCTTTGTTGAATTTATGTTGTAATTGATTAATTTAATAAATTGATAAATTGAGTTAATTATTTAATCAATTTAATAAATTAATCAATTAGTTTAGTTAATTATTTAATTAATTAAATGAATTTAATTAAATTAATTAATCAGTTAATTAACTATATATCTTATTTCATTATCTGTTTATTCATTTATTTTTCATTTTTTTGCTGCAGAGGGTTTGCTGCTGCTGCCGCCCGCCGTATCGGCGCATGCAGCAGCAAGGGCGGCGTACCTAGTCAGTTGCTGCTGCTGCTGCAGTTGCTGCTGCTACTGCTGCTGCTGTTTCTGCTGCTGCTTCTGCTGTTGCTGCTGCTGCTGGTGTCCCTGCTGTTGTTGCTTCTTCCGCAGGCGTTTCTGTTGCTGCAGCAGCCGTTGCTGCTTGTTATTCACACTCTTGCTGCTGCTGCTGCTGCCGCTGCTGGTTTTATTTAAAAATAAAATAAAAGAATTAAATATTTAAATTAATTATTTTGAATTTAATTTGCTTCGAATTCTTCGCCGCAGGAAAAGCTGCAAAGAGGCCCCAGCGGCGTTTCTGCGGCCATCGGGGAAATCCACCAAAAGTAACAAATAAATAAATAAATAAATAAATAAATAAATAAATAAATAAATAAATAATAAATAAATAAATAAGTAATTTAATTAAATGGCAGCAAAAGAGCAAAATGCATTTCCTCCGCAGGTGCCAGCAGGTCGCAATGAGGCACAGGGCCTAAACGAGCAGCAGCAGCAGCAGCAGCAGCAGCAGCAGAAGCAGCAGCAGAATAAGCCGCGGCACGAACAGAAGCAGCAGCAGAAACAAAGGCCGCTGCAGCAGCTGCTGCAACAGCAACTACTGCAACGGCAGCTGCAGCAACTGCTGCAGCAGCAGCAGCAGCAGCAGCTGGTTGTACAATATATATGCCTCGAAGTGGAAAGAAAGCACTTTTATAATTCTTTTCCATTATTGGAATTATCAAAGACAGAAAGACAGAAGAAATGTTTTTGCTGCAATGCATGCAGCCCCGAACTCAGCTACTATTCATTATTGTCTTTCTTCCTGTAATCTGCTGCTGTTGCTGCTGCTGCTGCTGCTGTTTTACGGCAGCTGCTGCTGCTGTACCTGCTGCTGCTGCTGCCGACGCTGGTCCACCTGTTGCAGCAGCAGCAGCTGCTGCTGCTGTTTTACGGCAGCTGCTGCTGCTCTACCTGCTGCTGCTGCTGCTGCCGACGCTGGTCTACCTGTGGCAGCAGCAGCTGCTGCTGCTGCTGCCGTAGCTCCTGCTGTAGCTTCGGTTGAGCCTCCCCTAGCTGCTGCTGCTGCTGCTTCTAGCTGCTGCTGCTGCCTGTTGCTGCTGCTGCTGCTTCTACCTCTAGCTGCTACTGCTGCTGCTGCATTCTGCAGGCCTTCTCTCTCTGTAACAGCAAGCGGCAAGTAGCTCAGCAGCAACTAAGTGAACAAAGAAATTAAATCAATTAAACTCAGCGGCAACTAACTAAACATTTAAATTAAATTAATTAAATTAAATTAATTAAATAAATTAAATAGATAAAAATCATCTGCATGCATTTGCCTCGGGGCTTTCCCGTCTGTTTCCACTGTACCCACAGCGGCAAAAACGGACCCGCTGCAGCAGCTGCAGCAGCAGCTGCAGCAGCAGCAGCTGCAGCAGCAGCAGCAGCTGCTGCTGCTGCAGCAGCAGCAGCAGCAGAACTAGTCGTCCAGCAGCTGCGTGTTGCTGCTGGGCTTGGGAATGGCTCTGCCGCTAAAGTAGTAATTTGAGTGCAGCAAAGAGCCGAAAGTCACAAACGCCTGCAGCAGCAGCAGCAGCAGCAGCAGCAGCAGCAATGGAGAATGATTGCAGTTAGTGGATCGAGTAATACTCACAGGTAGACACAGACAGCAGCATCAGCAGCAGCTGCAGCAGCAGCTGCTGCAGCACATGCAGCAGTAGCGAGAAGAGCAGAAGCAGCATCAGCAACGAGTCCATAAGCGGCAGCGGCAGCAGCAAGCCCATAAGCAGCTGCAGCACGACCATCAGCAGCAGCAGCAGCACGGCTATAAGCAGCAGCAGCAGCAGCAGCAGCACGACTATAGGCAGCAGTAGCAGCAGCATGACCCCAGGCCGCAGCAACACGACCGTAAGCTGCAGCAGCTCGACCCTAAACATCAGCAGCAGCAGCAGCAGCACGACCCCAGCAGCAGCAACAGCCGCAAGGCCCCAGCAGCAGCAGCAGCACGACCGCAGCAGCAGCAACAGCAGTACGGCCCTATCAGCAGCAGCAGCAACAGCAGTAAAACCCTAGCAGCCGCAGCAGCACCAGCAGCAGGAGCAAGACCGCAGCAGCAGCTGCACAACCCCAGCAGCAGCAGCAACAGCAGCACAACCCCAGTAGCAGCAGCAGCAGCAGCAGCGTTCACCATGAGGAATCCCCAGCCAAACCAGACATAGTAGGCCATGGGGGCTTGAATGCAAGTAGCGACTTGAGCTGAAACATAATAGTCTTCTAGGCCTGCAAGTTTGGGGCTTGAGGGGCGCATGCAGCCCCATAGCTGCTGCTGCTGCATGCGCTGCAGCGGCGCTGCTGCTGCTGCGCTGCTGCAGCGGCCGCTTGCTGCTGCTGCTGCTGCTGGGAGGGGGGGCGCTGGTAGCCGCAGCGGCTGCAGGCCGCGGGCGCACAGCAGCAAACGCTGGGGAAGCATATTTGAGAAGAAAAGGAAAGAAGAAATGAAAAAGAATAAAAGGAAAGAAATAAAAAGAAAGGAAAAGAAGAAAAAGAAAAGAAATGAAATAGAAGATCCGAAGAAAACCAGAATGCGACCGCGACAGGGTGTACAGACAGCTCCCGCTGGTGCTGCTGACGCCGCAGCAAAAAGAGTTAAAGACTTCTTTTCTAATTATTTTAATTCGCCTTTTTATTCTCTTTTATCGAGTTATGGCTATTTTCTCCGAACCAGCAGCAGCAGCAGCAGCAGCAAGCCCCAGGTGGCTGCATGTGCTGCAGTGTGAGTTGCTGCTGCGTCTGTTCTTCAGTTAAGTCTTCTAGGAAATAAATTCTTTTAATTATTTCCTTTTATTAAATTCCCTCACAAAGAGATTTCCTTTTAATTTGCTGCAGCGTGTGCCAGTGCTGCTGCTGCTGCTGCTGCTGCTGCTGCTGCTGCCGCTTGTAGTCTTGCTGCTGGGTACCTGTGATACAGCGTGCGGTGTACGTACACCCAG